GGGGGGGGTCACCCGTTCCAGAAAGTCTGCTGGGGGGCCCAAAACTAGCCAAGAGGCTCCCAAGAAGCTCTGAAGACGGTCCAAGAGGGCCCCGAGTCGCCAAAAAATCGTTCGAAGACGGTGAAGATTGCCTTCGGACGGCCCAAGATGCCGCCAAGACGCCCGAAGAGGCTTTCAAGAGGCCTCCCAAGAGGGCCCCAAGAGGCCAAAATCATGGCTTTGCATAGATTTTGTTCAAAGTTTTTGGCCTTCTCGCTTTTCTCGGCTTCCGACGCTCCAGGGCGGCGCAAGAGTCCCCCAAGAACGCCCCAGGACGACCCAAGAGCCCAAGAGGCCCCCAAGTGAGCCCCAAGACGGCCCAAGAGGGCCTCAAGACGGCCCAAGAGGGCCTCAAGACAGCTCAAGAGGGCCACAAGAGGCTCCCAAGAATGGCTCCAGACGGGGACCACGAACCTAAAATGTTTGCTTCCCGCCCCAAAAGGCACCCAGGAGGCCCCAAGGGGCCCCCAAGAGGCCCCAAGAGGCCCCCTAGAAGTCCAAAAGAGGCCCCAAGAGGCTCCAAAACAGCTCCCCAGAAGCATCCAAACTCCCTCCCGCAGGCCCCCGACAGGATTCGCACGACGGCGCCAGTCCGTCGCCCCCCTTCTCTTATTTGCCAGCCCAGCGAGTATCATTTGCATGGCACACATCAGCTTCCGCACCCACAGCGACTGCCCCAACGACAGCAACAACAACATAACAGCAACCCCGAACAACACCAGCACCGCAATCACAACCACCAACACCAACACAAGCAGCACCACGCCCAGCCGCATCACAATTGCTGCAAGAGGCCCTCCAGACGCACCAAAAGGCTGTAAAACCACCCCAAGACACAACCCAGACACATTGGCGAAGAAATCAAAAAAACGCCACCGAAAAAGTCTACGAGACGACCTAAGAGAGTCCGAGTACAGCCCACCCGCCCCCGAAAAGGCCCCCAAGGGGTCGGCAGCGCGGCGTAAGCCTAAGAATCCACGTCCGGAGGTGACGTGCTGAGAGGCAGCGTTTTTCGGCGAACGCCTTGATGCAACGTATCCAATGTATCCAAAGATTGCATAATTGCAACACATTATATTGTGTTACATTAATTATGTCCCCCCCCTGTAACCCCCCTCCTGGAGCCGCGCCACACCGTCGACCCCAATCTGGAGGCACTCATTCCGGGGCCCCAAACCTACAAAAACCTATTGAAAATCAACAAATTCGGCCTCTTGGGCTTCTTGGGACTCTCAGAGGGCCTCAAGATGGCCCCAAGGCGGCCCAAGACGGCCCAAGCCGGCTCCAGGACGGCCCAAGATGGTCCCAAGGGGCCCCATGAGGCCTCCAAGACGGCCCAAGAGGGCCCCAAGAGGACCCCAAAGAGCGCCTCCAGAGGCCAAAAGTTGATGATTTCTTATAGGTGTTTCAAAGATTTTAGCGTTCTCGCTTTTTTTCTGCTCTCAGAAGACCATGGCGGTCCACGCAGCCTCCAAGAAGACTCCAAGACTGCCAAATAGGCCCCCACGGCGGTCCCAAGACGGCCCAAGAGCGCCCCGAGACGGCCAAAAGAGGCCCCCAACACAACCCCAGGGGCCCCCAAGACGGCCTAAGAAGCCTCCAAAAGAGCCCCACGGCGGCCACGAGAGGCCTCCAAGATGGCCTCCGAAGGGGCCACACGGCGCAAGAGCGCCCCAGGACGGCGCAAGACGTCAAGAAGCAGCCCTGAGAGGGCCCCGAAGCGGCCCCAAACACGACCCAAGAGGCCCCCGAGAGGTTTCCAAGAGGCTCCCAAGCGCCCCCCAGGAGTCCGCCCAGAAGCCCTGGGGATGGCAGGACGGAGCGGCACGCACGCGCGCGGCCGAGCACGTCACGCCATCGAACGCCCACATCTTCCACATTTTTGAATAATTCTCCACAGCGGCGATTACCAGTCCGGATCGGCTGCGCGGCGCCAACTCTGCCCGCCAGCAAGCGGGGCAGAGCACGTCTGCTTTGTCACGCTGGGAACTGTGCACGGCTTCTCGCCTAAACACTGCCGAGCACCGCGAGCATTTCAAATCCCTGCGCGGATCCCGGCACTGAGCGCAGGTCCACTCTCTCATGTTCCAGACTCTGTACTTGGCCGTCTTCGGCCGTGGAGCCGAGCCACGTCTCGCGCACGGCGGAAATCTGCACGACTCGCACCAGAAACCGGCGCTGCACCCCACGCGTTCTGGAGGCCTTGCTCCGCAGCCTCCCTTGCAGAGGGGCATCCATTTTTCGTCCGGACACTTTGTGCACGCGGCGTCTTTGACGCTCTTGTGCATCTTAAAAAAGGCTGCATCGAACTGCTCCGCGGGCACGTCCCGCTTGCAGATGCGACACTTCAACAGGCGGGCCGCCGACAACACGTTGAAATGCTGCCTCTCCGGGGTGCGCGCCACGCAAACGGCGAGGTCCAGCGCCCCTCTGCCTTTCAGGTCATTCACCTCGCTGCGTCGGAAATTCGTCAATTGTTTGGGCTCCTTGCAGCGATTGCAGACAAGGACGTCTCTGCCTTTCGCGGCGAACGGCGCTGCAGCCGCGGCAGGTGCGCCCGAAGCAGAGGTCCGCTTCTGAACGCAGAGGGCGCACCTCCTCCAGGCCCCCTGCCTCAGCACCGCCACGGCGTGCTCCAGGGGGTCGCTCGTTCTCATGCCACTGTCTGGGAAATTGCCCGGTTTCTTTCGCTGGTGGCAGTCGGCGCACTGGAACGTGGCGTCCACCAACTTTTTCGACGACCTGGACGCGGCTTCCCTCTCTGCCTTGGCCCAACTGGCTTTCGCCTGTTCCGTCGTCATCTCCCCAGCTGTAAGGGAGTGCAGGAGCCACGGGCTCGTCTGATGCCCCTGGCGGAACAGCATGGTGGAAAAAGGCTGGGTGATGATCAGGTCGTCCGCCCTGCTGGTACGGCTGATGGCCACGTAGCCAGTGGGGACCATGGACGAACGGGGCGTCGTCCGCGCGTCCAGGAGGTCGATGATGGCCTGCGGAAGAGTGGAGCCGGTGACGCAGTGGGCCGCGGCGGCGAAGTGCGGGACGAGCGGGAAGCCCGTGCGCTTCACCATGGCCTTGAAGCCGGGACTACAATCCCAGGACACTTCCTCCAGCTTCACCGGGAAGACGCCAGCAGGCTGATTGCCGAAGCGGGGGGCCGTGCTTCCTGGAATTCTCACCATGATCGCATCGGGCACGTGCTGCAGGACCAGCTCCGGCTGGGCCCTCTGCTCTTTCACCAGCTTCGAATCGTCCGGGTGGAGAACCCAGCCAGTCACTGTCCCCCAGGAATGTTTGCAGGCTCCCGCCTCCGCATTCTCCGTGGTCGTGAAGCGCGCACCCCTTCGAAGATCGGAAGCACGCCCGGGACTCCGCCAGTCTTGTTTTCCGGGTACATCAGCCACTTCTGCCTGGCGTTGGCAAGGGACTCCTTCGACCTGCATGCGTCGTCCCGAGTGAGGGGGACGTCGCGCGTCACCACCCAGAGGAGCTGCTTCCCAGCATTTGCTGCCGCATTCGCCGCTCGCAGAGTCAAAATTCTGCTCTTCGGGGCGTTGTACGGGTGCACGAACAGCGCGTCGGCGAACGCCGTGCTCACCCCCCGCTGTCTGGCATCGCTCTGAGAGGCGACGCGGCAGCGCCGACGGCGTTCCGCGCTGCAGTCAGCGCACTCAAGAGCTCGCATGTCCTGCCAGGGCCGACCCTCTCCGAACATCCGCGGCCACTGAGCTGACCTGAGCGCGCGGCACTTCGCTTTCCCGCAGCCGAGGTGCCCCGTCGAGGCCTCGGCGCTGCCGGGGCTTACGGGCATCCAGGAGCCGGGCACATCAGTGGGGAAGCCGTGGACGAAATCGTACATTCTGTCCGACAGACTCCCCGCGCGCGCTTCTGCGAGGAAGCTCCTCCACCACGGGTCTGCGCAGCGGTGCGACTGGGTCAGGGCGTAGCGGTGAGTCGCCGAGTGTGGCGAGCCCTCTGTCGTCCAAAACATCTCGAGTATGCGGCCGACGTTGGCGGACCGCTTCATGAAAGGATTGGCAGCAATACTGAGAGTCCTCACGGGCGGGATCTGCCGCAGAACTCCGAGAAGCACCAGGTTCAGAGCGCCGAACATGGCGAACTGTTTCGGGGCGCGTGCGTCCACGGCCCACGGGTTCCCCTTGTCCCTCGTCGAGTCCTTCACCTGCCTGTGCACGGCGTCCAGCAGCTCCACGGACACGTTCTCCACCTCGTCGATGATAAGCCAACGCATGTACTGGATTTTCGTGTGCAACAAGTTCTCCGACAGCTCCGGGTCCTTCTTCCCGCCAGAGTGGACCCCCGTGATAAGATCGATCCCGAGCTTGCTGAAGTTGTGGATAGTCTTCCCCCCGATGTTGCTTGCCATGGAATTCATTGGGGCGGTCTTCATGAAGTGAACCTCGTGCTCCCATCCCATGCACGTGGGAAACAAACCCACGTCCTCGTCGTACAACCACCGGATTACTTCGGACTTCCCTGATCCTGGCAGGCCGAGAACGAACAGCCTGGAGCATGGCGATCCGCGCGGCTGGTCCTGCTCGCTAGCCTCCTGAACGCACCTGTCGGCGACGGCATTCAGGATGCTCATCTGCTGCGGGTCGGGGATGATCTGGTGCGTCTGAAGTCCTGCGATCGGCCAGGGATAAGCATGGGCAGGCCTCTCTGCACATTCCTCACAGACCTTCAACTGCTTTACGACCCTTTCAGCTACGCACCACATGTGCCATGCCACCTGCCTGACATGCTCAGACGCGTGATGTGTAATACTATACATATGCTTACACGCATGCGAATGTAAACGCATACATGCATCTTCCACGGAGAACGCATGGCGCGAACGAGGCACTGCAGGCGGGCGCTGCGACATCCACGAAAGTGTGCACACAAGGCCAATCATCAACCCTTCCACATACTCAGATCTACTCACCACTCACGACATGACGCTACGCAGCAGATGCTCCGCGCGAGCTCGGTTGGAGACGCGCCTGCTCGGAAGCCGAAGACTTTTCATATTCGATAACTTCTTCCAGAGCGAAACGGAGCGGGCGCTCCGACAAAACTGCGTTCATGCCATACTTTGGGTAGTCCCACGTCTCGCGATTGCCCCCCCCCCGTCCTCTCCGCCAGCTCTGGATGTTGCTTGTCAGGTCAGCGTCGCCAGGGTACAGCTTGTCCCGCTTCTTCAGGCGCGCCGATTTCCGCAACGGCTCCCGGGCATCTCCGCGAGCACCCGCTGACAGCGAACTGCAATGCCGAAGAGCAGACTGACGCTGTGGAACGCGCCACGTGGTTTCGGTGTTCGGTGGGTCCCAGAAGGACATGCTCTGCTCCAGCGCTTTGTGCACCGAGTGGGAGAGGTGCCCAATGTCCTCGCCGGCGGCATCCGCCCTGGCGTCTCGGTCCACTCGCCGCAACTCTGCCATGATGCTGATGGGGCTGAGATCGGGGAACGCGTCCTCGGGCAGCGCCTCGACTGTCTTCGAGTCCTGGTCGTCCTCATCCTCGTCGGCGGCCTCCGGCGTCGTCGTCATTGTGCGCAGCACGTTCGCCCACAGGACGCGGTTGGAAACCGAGACGATGTGGCCGCGAAGGTAGTGCTTCAGGGCTACTCGGAAGCTCGGCGCGCTCCTCCCAGAGCGCTGGCGCTTGGGCGGCAAGTTCAGATGCTTCGCTAGCGGAACAAGCCCCCGAGAAGATCCGTATTTGCACACCAGAGACCATGGCCGGAAACACGCAGAAAGAATGGCGCTGCGGCGCTCGGCCGTCATGTCGGGCTGCGGCGTGACGGACCCGATGAAGATCGGTAGCGCCGGGACGCCCCGTGGAACAATCACGTACATGTGAGCGAAGTCCATGTCGTCTGGGTCCTCTTCGAGCGCGAAGTACCTGCATTCGTCCGTGGGTGGCTTCACGACATAGTGGACCCCAGGCCGCAGAGGCCCATCCGCCGCGGCCGGCGGCGAATTCGCCGTCCACTCCGTCGGACCCGTCGATGGTTTCGAAGCATCTCTTGGCGGCGGGCACTTTGGTACCACCTCGTACAAGCGGACGAATTCGTGAGGGCTCAAAGTCTTCAGCTCGGCATGATTCGGTCGGTAGGCGTACGCTCGCGCCGTCGCGTCCGGCGGCGTGGTCACCCCGCCTGCGTCCGTGAACAGCACGAACCTCTGCTGGCGCCGCGCCGTCGCGCGCCCTACCCGAGTTTCGTCCGTCACGATCTGGAGGAAGCAGCCCGCGTAGAAGTCGGCGACAGGGCACGACGTGATGCACTCCGCTGCAAGCGGGTTCGGCCTGTCCGCGAAGTGCGCCAAGTTCACTTCCTCGACGATCGTCCGCGCCACGCCCTTGGCCTCCCAGTCCCCGATGCAGCGGTGAAAAGTGTTCATCGTCTGCTGCATCTCGGACTTCCCTTGGATTCGCTGGGCCAGCGTGGACAGACAGGTCTTCGCGAGTTCCCGCGCCTTCCTCCCGACGCGCTGCACCCTGGAAATGTACCCTCCGATGTACCGCGAAGAGTTCGACATGGACCGCTGAACCGCGAACGCGATGCGTCGAAGGTGCCCTTCTCCTGTCTCTTCTCTGGCGCCGTGTCGACACAGGCAAGTCGGGTCGTGAGTGATGCCTGTGATGAGCGGCAGCCGGTTGTTCGGCGCGGTGTGCGTGTTGCTCCGAAATGCCACCGCAAACGCTGGGCAAGTCCCGCTCAGGAAATCGTCGCTCCGGGGGCCCACGATCTCGCCCAACGCATTCCGCGGTCCGTTCACTTTAAGCCCGACTTCCTTGGCCACCTGAGGGCACGCGACACGAAACCTCGGTCCGTCTGGAGCCGCCAGAAGCATGGTCTTCGGGAAGCCGTGCTTGCACTTGTCACCGTGCTTGCAGCCTTTCTTGATGCAGTGTGTGAGCGGCTTCCCGTTTGGACGGTGGTGATGCTGGACCTTCGAGAAAATCATCTGCGCGTCTGCCTCGTAAGCCTGCTTGAAGCTGGCCGCGTCGGCGCCGCAGGCAACGGCATCGCACCCTTCGTCCCACTTCGTCTTCGGCTCGGCATGGTCCATATAAGAGGGCCACCGACACAGACCTACGTGCTCCGATGCGCGGTGATTTTGCCGCCACTCTAACTCCAACGACGGAAGGTTCTCCCGGTGCTCCTCGGGGGCCCAGTGCTCTTCCCTGTGGACCCACGCGTGCCACTCCTTCACCGAGTCCACCAAGCCAGGGGACTCCCGAATTTTCGTTGCGATCTCAGTCAAGGGCGCGCGCTGGAACATGTTCGCGAGGTACACGAACCCGTGGAAGTGGAGCGCGCCTGGGTGCTGGTTCTCGACGGCGCCAAGTAGAGCCGCAGCAACCCCGAAAATGCAGCCCATGGGGCGCGAGTTGGAGCCGAACTTGTCCGTGCAGCAGCACCGGGGCTGCCTGCGATATCTTCGCGCGACGCCGCACTCGGCGCACAACCGCAGGCCCAGGAGGCGGCCCAAGATCACGTTCACGGCGACGCGGAAGCCCTGAACGACCGAGAGAGGATCATTGGCCACTTCGCAAAGACGCAAATCGAAATCGGGGAGCTCCGCGTCGGCGCACTCCGACAGTGAAGGCCACTCCCGTGACGCCAACCGCTTTCTCATGGAATTCCGTGCGTCGTCTGTGCACCCCGCGCGCAGCAGCGGGTCGTCCTGGCGTACTCTGTGCAGACGCATGACCAAGCAGGACTGCTTCTCATTTGGCGAAATGGTGATGAAAAGCCCGTGCCCGTAGCCAATCGCGCCAAACTGGAAGACGTGGCCCATCCTGCGACGCAGTTCCTGGGTGCCTGCAAGAGTGCTCGTCACCGCGCGCATGTTGTGCACGATCTGTTTCTGGGTCGTGTCCAGGCCGTGCGCCATGTGCAGCACCGTCAAGTTGCCAGCAATCGGCCGCCTCTTGGGTCCGTAGTACTCCTTCGCCAACAGGTCGTGCAATCCGCGGGCGGCCGTCGTGAGTCGCTCCGTGAACGCTGATCCATCTTCGTCCACGTACTTCCTCACTTTGCTCCCCAACCTTGCGGCGATGCCCAAAAAGCGAAAGTGGGCATTGCGCATGCCCGGAATGAAGAGCCAGTCCGATCGGATCTGGTGCTCCACTCGACGGCACATGCCTGCCAGCCACATCCCCATGCTGATGGATGGCCGGTTCTCTACTTCCTCGGGCCGCCCCGTTGCTCGTCGTCGATGAACGACGTCGGCACCATGGCGCCAGGCCCTCGTGAAGTCTGGCCCCCCGCTCTGCCACAGTAGCGTGTGCGGGAACGCAATCGCGGGGCACTTCCCATTCCACTGCTCCAACATGGCTGCGTCGGCGACGTACAGGACGACTGGCCCGCCGTCCATGGCTCGCTGCTGCCGCTGGCCCGAAGTCCCTTGCCGGGACGTCGCATCTGTGGGTGCGCAGGAGGTCGGTCTGGCATCGTCGAAGACAGACGCGACGTCTGTGCTGGCCAGCGCCGGAGTCGCGTGCTTGTTATCCTGCACGCTGCTCCTGGACGGCTCCGCCACCACCGTCGCTTTCTCGACGTCCGGCGGGGCCACCCCGTCGGCGCCCCCAGAGGTGCCGAGCCACGGGCAGCACAGCTTCACGCGCCTCTCGAAAGCCTCCTTCGCTGCGCGTATGGCCGCGGGATCGCCGGCAGCAGCTTTGCAGAAAGCGGGGTGGCCGCGGTCGATGAGCTCCCAGCCGAGTTGCAGCACCACGTGAGCGCGAAGGCGCATGTGCTTCAAGTGCTTCGACAGGTCCTTGTCTTTCATCCGGAACTCGAAGCGAACCAAGTGGGCCAGCGTCTCCCCGTCGCGAGGCAGCGCCGAAGCAGCGCTGGAATTCTCCGAAAGGCGAGGAGGCGCTCCAGGACGTCGTCCCAATACACCAGGAAGCTGGCCAGATTTCCACGAACAGACTACCGACTGTGCGGATGCATGGCCTCTGGGGGTCGCTCTGCGAGCAGCGCGCCACTACCCCCTCTGCGCCAGTAAGCCACACTGCAGTTTCCAAGGGGAGGCGGGGCCCGAGAAGAACACGGAGGGGGCAGTGCCGCGCTATTTCGCAGAGCGCGCCTGGTTGTTCATGAGGTGACCCTTCTCGCCCTCCACGTAGAACGCCATCAAAGACGTCCACACCAGTATGGCTGCGGCCATCTCGATCCACCGAGGTCTGTGCTTCTCCTAGAAAGCCGAAACGAACCCGACAAAGTTGTCGTTGGCGATGGCCGCCCGCGGGATTCTTTCCCGCACAGTTCGCGTCTTCGCGAATATGCCGCGGCACTGCCAGCACAGAGGTATGCGGCACGACTCGCACATCTCGTCAAGAACTCCATGCTGGCGGTCGCACACCACGTCTTCGGGGCAGCACAGGAAGCGCATGGTGTTCTCGCTGCCATTCGGACCAGTCCACTTCACCGTTCGCACCCACGGCGACGACGCGGTTGTCTGCGTCGGATAGTGGTGCGACAGCGTCCCGCGGTGATCAGGAGCAGGGTGCGGGAAGTGCGCCAGGAAGGCGTCCAAGCCGAAGGCGTACTCCAGGAGCTCCCGCGGACAACTGCGCAAGAGCCCACGCAGTGGCGTCCATCCAATCTCACTGACTCCAGCGGACTCGGGGTCGTCGACGCTAGTGTAGATCTGTCCACAGCAGAAGCAGACCAGCGAACATAAAGAGGAATCGTTCGCCACTTGCCTCATTGTGCGCAAAGCACGCCGGTCTCTTGAAATGCCGAGCAACGGAATGCCCGTCCGTGCCCGGACCTCCACCGCCTGGCAGTAGATTGGCCAGATCCACGATGCCCGCTCCTCACGCAGCTCGGCATGGACGGCGACATCGTCGGCGCTTTCAGCGAGCTTTTTGTTCCACCCCTCTCTCCAGGCTGCTGGGAGACAGGCCTGGTGGCAGCTGGTGACATGGCGCCGCAAGTCCCCCTCCGTCTCCCCGGTCCAGCGGCGCAGCCGAACGGCGCAGTTGCAGATCGGCCACTGCAGCCCGTCCATCACCGCAGAGATATTATCCGCGGTGTCCGCCGGGTCGAACGGCGGAGGAAGCGTCGGGTCCTGCCGAAGAAATGCCGAGAAAGCCAAGGCTGAATCGTGGGCGACGTCCAGCGTCGTGTGCGCCACGTCGCCGCCACAGGCCAAGTGGTCAACGTCGGACTGCTCTGACCCGCCAGCAGCCTCCGACAGCTCGGAGTTGGAATCCGACGCCCGCTCTGCGGGCGATGACTCCCCGCCGGCGTCGGAGTCAGACTCGGGGGCCTCCGCCGCTGCAACGGCATTCTCTCCACGTTCGCCCTGCGACTGGGGGCAGCCTGGCGCGCGGCGCAGCAACCCCGCCCCGTCGGCGCCCTGCGGGCGCGCGCTGCTGCCGAAACTCGCACCCGCCACACTCCCTCCCACTGGGCTGCAAGCGCCCGGACGGCTCGGCTCTGGATGCGGCGGCGGCGGGGAGGGCGCCAGAGCGGGCGCGCCGGCGAAGCGGTCGGCCGCGCCGACTGCATTGCGTGTGCGTGGAAGCCGGGGTTCTGGATGCGGTGGCGGCGGCGGAGGTGGCAGCGGTGGCGCGGCCTCCACTCCGAGAGAGTCGTCGAGAATACGTAGAACTCGATGACAGAAAACCGAAACGTCCTCCTCGCCGAAGAGCGCATCCACGTCAGCGAAACAGAACGGGTCGCTGAACTTCCTCCGGCAAGCGGTCGAGGGCGCCCACGGCCGCGGGGCGTCAGTTCTCGTCGCAGGCACGTCCACCGCATCGTAGTGCGCATACCCGTCGACGTCATAGTGGACCACCGCAAAATCTAGCACTGGAATTTCCGCGCGCCCCTGCAGCAATCCCTGGTCTGGGATGATAGCAGCCTGGTTCCACGCGTTGAATAGAACGTACAGAGCGAGAGCGCCACAAGCCTCCAGGAAGTGCGTGATCACAACAGCGTCTGCATACCGGCGCGATGCCGACACGTCCTCCGCATGGACGCGCATGCATATGTCCAAGTAGAACACCTGCGCAGTCGGGCGCACACAGACTCAGCGCACTCGGGGGGGGCGAGAGACAGAGAGGAGGTCACTGCGACTCCGCCATCGAAAGCCCGCGCATGCCCCCAAAAATTTGCGTGGCCCCCAGTGGGCGCTTCATCGTGGCCTCAGACGCCATCTCAATAACGCCCCCCCTGCCCCGCTTTCGGATTTCGAAAACATCACGAACCTTCTGTGCAAGCACTATTCGGGGAATGTGACCCTGGACCTCTTGGTTTGGAGACGGGCGCCCCGATTTCCCCCTGCCCGCGGCGCCACCTTCCAGTTGGGCAGACTGCCCCACGCGGGGCCGTTGGTCACCTGCGCTGGCAACTCCTTCTGCAGCCGAGCCCTCCTCTCCACAGCGTATTCGTCCAACTGCAACGCCTCCAACAATTGCTGGTTCCGGTTCTTCATCATCCCCGCCAGCGCCCATCTGTACAGCTTCCAAGCCGCGCGGCCCGAAAGTCCTAGTTCGGCAGCCGCAGCGCGGAAAAAGCACAGCCCATCTCCACGAACAGGGCGCGCTGAAAGCCGCAACCCTGGCCGCGATGGTGAGAGAAGCTCCGCCACGCGACCCAGTGATTCGCTAGCGCAGCTAATGCGGGACCGCCTGATGGCCTCCCCGTCATCGTCGATGCCGACCTCGCTCAAGTACGCCTGGTCGCTCTCGACTGCTAACTCCACGTCGCTCGACGTCGCCGTGGCGCGCCGGAAGCTTCGCCGCCCCGCGGGCCGACTAGGCAACCCGGACTGCGGAGAGCCTCAGAATGGACGCCGGAGTCACAATCGAGCCCACATGGTTCATGGATGCCGCCTGTGCCACATGGCGGCAAACAACAGGCGCGATCTGTGCCACAAGACTGGGCAGGACAGGAAGCACGAGAACTGGATCGCCGCCCTTGTGCAATACCCCGCAGGCCTCTTTGACTATCGCCTACACGGTTGCGCCCCACTCCTGCCCTCCGGCGGGTCGAATGACAACGCTGGCGCGCGCGCGCCGTGCAATGATTAGGAAAGGGCCTCGAATTCGGAGACCTGGATCCCCACAACTTCTGGGGAGGGCCCTGCAAAACCCTATGAGGCGCCCGTGCTCGACCTCCTCCGATGTCCGCGTCGCGCTGACACCCGAGGACGTCTGCGCCCGAAGCTACGTTTTTTCTGTCAAACACGTATGCACGCAGGCATCTCCGACGGTTCAACTGCGCGCACACGCGCAAGGGGCCAACGCCGACAGACCGCATCTTCTCTTTCTCTCCCTCTCTCTCTCTCTCTCTCTCTCTCTCTCTCGCCTGACCGAGGTACCCGCGTCTGCAGAACTCCCCCGGGTACCCTCCAGGCCTTCCTGCGACGCCCCAAAGATCGGTGAAGTCCTCGGACCCCGCATGCGCGTGCCTCTATACGCCCTTCCGTCAGCTATCCATATTGCACCATCTACCTCTATGTCTCCTTGCGGGACACGCGCAGACACGCGCGAAGACAAACGCACGCACGCACGCATACACACACGACACACGCACGCACGCGCACACGCACACGCACACGCACACGCACACGCACACACACACACACACACGCACGCACGCGCATACGCACACGCACACGCACACGCACACGCACACGCACACGCACACGCACACGCACACGCACACGCACACGCACACGCACACGCACACGCACACGCACACGCACACGCACACGCACACGCACACGCACACGCACACACACACACACACACTCTCTCTCTCACTCATTCACACAAACACGCACACATGCGCGCACGCCGCGCCATCCCCGCCCTCCGACTGCCCCGCCTAACGCCCGCCTGCCCCCACTCTCTCGCCGGCGCGGCGAGCAGGGATCTCGCCTTCCCGGCGGCCGCGCCGATCAGCGGCCGCGGGCGTGGATCCTGGCGACGCGCCCCCGCCGCCCCCGCCCCCCCCCCTGGCCCCCGCGTCGTGCATGTGCGCGTGCATTCTCATACACATGCGCATGTAAGCGTGAGCAACGACGCCTGTGCATGAACGCATGTGCATTCAGAGAGAACGGGTTCTGCCTGCTCCCACGCCTGTTCCCGTTCGATTCTTTGACTGCCAAACGCTCTGTCAGCCCCCACTCGAAAGTGCCAATCCGCCCCCGCGCGCGGGCGCGCAAGCACGTGCGACTCTCGCCCGCGCTGGCGCAGAATGAACGACGCGGGACGCGAGTGAAATCTCGCGCCCGCCCGCCCCACGCCGACCTGCGCGCCGCGCGCGCAAGCGTGAAGTGCGCCTGCATAACGCCACCCGCAGAGGGGCGCAGGGCGCCCCCCGCGGCACGATCAGATCGCTGCAGGTTGACTATGCACAGTGCGCGCGGGGACACGGGAGCGCGCCAATTCGATGGCCGCCCCTCCGAGAAAATCGGGCGCAGCGCGCGCTCATCCCACCCGCCTCTTCTGCGTCGGGCCCGCGCCATCCGGGATCATCGCGGCTGCTGCCGACAGCGCGGTGACCTCCAGATCGCCAGCAGTGGCGACGGCCTCGAACTGTTTCAGGACGGAGAGAAGGTCGGGGGACGGAGGCGCGTCCCGAGCGATGGCAAGTAAGACATGAAGGGCGTTCAGCTTGGGCTCCATGGCGTCGAGGCCGCCCATGTCGTCAGCCAGCGTCAGATGCGTGGCGGCGACTTTGAGCTCATTCTCGAAAACGCCGAGCTTCGCGAGGACCGCCTCCACCTCAGCACCCGCCGAGACGATCGCTGTCTGCGCGGCGCGCTCTGCGCTCTCGCGAAGACCCGCTAGCCTGCGGCCCCACGCCGCCCTGAACGCACAGCGACGCGCCCCACGAACGCGCCGACGCAGCGCAGCCGCACTCCCAGGAACGCCCCGTCGTCCTCCACCCACTTCCGAATTACACCCCAGCCCCCTGCTCCGGAGCTCAAACTGCATCTGCGCGGCGACGCGCTTCTGGGAACGCGGCCCTGGGGGGTCCTGTCCACGGGCATGTCGAGCGCCTCCCAGGACGCGGCGCCCACCAACATAGAGTCGGCGTTCGCGATGCCGGAGATCTCCTCGATGCACTTGTCGATGTCGCGCCCGATCTCTTTGCGCGCACGGAATTCCTGGATGTCGGCCGCCCTCGCTGCGCGCTGCGCGGCCT